GTTACTTCGCTGGTTCTAGGAGAAAAAAGTTCCGCTTCCAAAAGAACTGTTCGCTTTTCGGTGACATAACAGAAAAGCGAAGGTAGGCTTAATAGCAAGGAGCAAGAAAAATGAGGAAAAAATTGTATGCGGTGTGCAGTGGACTGGGTGGATCTTCCACCTCTGGCAAGCTGTTTGCGTTATTTTGAAATGCGTTTTTCGTTGTTGTTGTTGCTAATCTTGCTATCTGATCCAAATCTTTTTCCCATTTAAGTATTAATCGTTCCAAAATTAGCTATAGCTATCATAAACACAGTTACCCATGTTAAGCACCACAGCGACGGGTCACTCAGAGATTTCGCCAAGAGTCTTTAGCTTGCAGCCTTGTTGGTTGCCGGTTTTTTTTTTTTTTTTTTTTTTTTTTTTTTTTTTTTTTTTTTTTTTTTTTTTTTTAATCTTACAGCGAATCTGTGTTAATCTTTCCATTTGAAGTCGTCTATTCCCCTAATGAGCTGTGTTTCCATAGATGTTTTTCTCGCTGTCTTAAGCCATTATAATGTTGTTTTACTTAATCCCTTACTTAATCCCTAGCCGGCGGAAGGGTGTTCTGCTATTAACTACAAAATGTGCGATGTGTTTTTCGTTGACTAGTCAAAGTCTTCACTTAAACTTTTTCTTTTGGATTTAATCGATTGCCATGACGGATCTTTCGTGTCTGAAAAAGATTTTGTTCCAACATTTGTGCGTTCTAGCCTCTTTCTTTGAATCCGAGGTGGTTTAACGAGCCCAAGTACGAGTTGGAAATGAAACTCCCTCAACACAGCTCGGAGTGAGACATGTAAACACAAAATCTCGTTCTCTCATGAAATATAATGCGGATGTTTTTCAGATTTTTTTTTTCGTATTGTCGTAGTCACGAATAAATTTAGGTTTGAAGTGTTGTTTCTGTTTACTATTCCTGAATTCTTATCAAAAACTTGCGCGGGAATTTCACACATGTATATATTTTTCTTTCTTCCGGTGTTGCTCCTTCACTTCAACTTTTCTACTCGTTTTGAAAAGGCACATCTATTGCTTTGCTGTTATCTTGGGTCTTAGTGAAAGTTAGATAACATTTCCTTACGTAAGTAGGTCCGACGAAGGGCTCTTGATGACAGTGTCTGCTTTACAGAATTTTCCGTAGCGGGTAATTTCTTTTATCGACTACTGCTAGATTCTGCAGAATAGACCACTTGTGACACTTGCCCATCGCAGCACAGTTTCATCTTACGATGCATTTGGCGATAAGGAACGTACGATTTATTTCGTGCAGAAAAGTATAACCAAAGACAGACCGCGGAAGTGTAAGAACGAGCATCAGCACGGGCACGAGCACGCTCAAAACCTTCACCCTACCTCTTCTTACAATGTTATCTGGATATTTTTTTTCCGTTTTAATCACTTTTAGGCTAATCCTTTACCTTTGTTAATGATCGAGATTTGCCATTTCCGTTGACGTACCTTTGATTCAAAATCGGGAAATTTTTCTCTTTTCGTGATGCATCCCATTAATGTCATAAGCTGAAAGTTTGGCACAAGCAGGTACGAGAATTGTCATTATTCTTTATTTAATTATTTTTATCGGTATAGCGCTAATGCTACTTTCTTAATCTTTGTGGGATACGCAATACTTTTATCGAAATCTTGTTATTAGGTCTGCGTGATGCAGATCATGAAGTTGTTTCAACGTGTTCTGTTTATTCGTCAGACCAATTTTGTTCCTTTTGGTTTTTTTTTGTTTGTTTTGTTTTGTTCCTTTACCAAGAAAAAAATTCAATTTTAAGAATATCAAAGGTATAAAGGAAGTATTGTGTAACAATATGACCGAGTTCCTCGTGCGGAACGCCTGTAAGGAAATTTGCGTCCTATGCTTCTGGTATCACCCTCGTTTTTACATTCAGGAGCGGAGAATGTTGGGACAACAATTTACGATAACATCTTTTTTTCGTTATGTAATTTCAAAAATAGAAATTGCCAACTGATCCAGATTTGTAAAGGGTGTTTTCCCTTGCCCTCGAAGCGCCCTCTTTACGTTTTAGCGGTTTGGTAACAGAAGAAGTTAGACTAACTGCGAAAAGAGCTTATTCTTGGACAACGTCATGTCACCTGGCAATGAGGGAGGAATTGGCTCCCAACAGGCGGAAACTGCAGCAAATTCCATTAAACATCGTTCAGAGATATATCCCCGTTGTAATCGAGCAATTATCGTGGGGGGGTATTACCTACGAGAAGTCAAAGCAATAGGTTTTTTGGTTTTTTTTTTTTTGGTTTTCTTTTCTTTTTTTTTTTTTTTTTTTTTTTTTTTTTCGAGAGGGTCGTATATAACCGACAACGTAACGCCTGCCTGCCAGTGTCAGGTTTGATAGCACCAAGGGTTCTTATGGAATATATTCTGAAGTTTGGTTTTGCTATAGTCGATCGTTTGGGTCAGTTGGAAGGCCTTTTTATCCCTCGACTTAAAGTTATTGAGGTAAAGTAAACACTCTGAACGTGCAAAGCGTATTCAATTCGCGCAAAAGTATTGGTATAATTAGCTCCTAACATATTTATGCTAATTTAGTGTTACACCTTGCCGCAAACTTTGTAATTTTTTACTTCTCCTTAACAATGGCGTCATGATGACACCGAAACGTCGGTTTTTATCGTTGGTTTTTGCTTGTCTAAGGTAAAGTAGAAATGTCTTTTTGATCGAGTGTGTGACTTGACCCACTATGAACGCACTCCTGTACTCGCGCCAATTAGTGACGAAATTTTTAACCTGTTTATACAGCGCTTTCAATTTATTATTACACTTAGTTTGCTGTTGGTATTTTGCTGAAGAGATTTGAAGTTTTCTTTTGGACCAGCAAATACCGGAGCAAGTAGAGAATAGGTCTAACCCGTTTGTGGCTTGAGAGATCCTTGAGGGTCCCCTATACATTTTACGTTAAACGTGATTAAGCGATTTTTTTTTTCTTGGGAATCATGATTGGTATTTCTCTTTATTCATGATTTAAAATGATAAGATCATTTCATGTCCACGTGAACTACATTTTTTTAAAACGTGACTCGTGAGTGAAGAGCTGAATTAAACGTGATTTGTGAACCATTTTTATTTGCGTGATGAATTCCCGGCAATTTAATTGTTTTAAAAATGTACGTGTTGTTCTCGAACGGCTGTGTTAAGGTTTTGACCAGGGTTTTGATAAGATGCGGACTTGATATGGATTGGTAAATGTCATAGAACAGACCACAAATGGTCTTTGAACAAATAATATTAGTCATTGCGTCATCTTTTGTCACCTAAGACTGGTCTAGAAAAAAGAAAATAAATATCAATTTGTGAAAGTGACTTTTTATTTTCAAGTGAATCGTGATCGTCTCACATTTCGCGTGAACGTGAGCGAAACTTGAATATTCGTGACGCGTGAAAAAAGACAAATATTTTTACATGACTTAGTTTTTCAAAAGGTACAGGGGACCCTCATCCTTATGTAAACTTCTTCGTAATGGTGATCGCGTCGACAATTGATGTCGTTTAACGAGTTGACGTTTTTATGATGTCCAGCAGTTTGTTAAACGCTCATTTGCTATCTGCGAATGAAAAGAAAAATCCTTCTCAGTTACTTTGTTGTCCGTTTTTTTTTTTTTGCGCACATTGAAGAAATGTTACGCTGTGGGGGTAAACGCGCCTTATTATCCTGCTTGATCTTTTCTCGCCGAAACTGTTTTGCCAAATTTTGAAGAACAGATTTGTGGGTGATTTTACGTCATTGATCAGTCCAAAAGACAGGAAGTGACGTCCTACTGCTTGTTTGGTTGAATTATGTTCAGCCGCAAGCAAAGAAGGAAAAACAAAAAAGCACGAAAGCGATGCTAAATTTAGAAGAAATCTTAGTCTTTGACGTATAATCGATGTAAAGCTCAGTAAACACTTTCTGGTGTTTTTGACTATCAACATCTTCATTTAGTACAAAAGCTTTGCGATTACGTCTTCCTAAACGTTACGTTCCTAAACGTTTCTTGCGTACTTAAGGGGAGTGCTCAAAAAGGGCCAAAAAACAAATTGTTAGCAGTTATAAAATAAATGAAGAAAGGTGCAAATTTATTGGCACTCTTACACCGGAGGACGTGGAATAAGTACTGACGGTGTTTTTCTTATTTCGAATTTAGATAATAATTATGTAGGTGATAAATACATAAAAAAAAAGAAGATATTAGTCTAAATTTATAACAAAAACATTGGATTACCGACACGTCTTTAATTTCGTCTAGCTTTGCAGACATTGAGGGTACAGCATGTTTTCATTTTCATCTCCAAAACACGTGTAATAGCCACTCTCAGTTCTTAAGGCTTTCTTGAAATTACCAGACCACGGAAAGCCGACAAGGGGGAGAGTTCTATCCAGCCTTTATCCCCATCAAGCAAGTGAAGATTTAATATTCTGATGTGATGTGGCGAACTCATTGCCTAGGGAACAAGGCAGGTATTTGTATCAGTAAAACTTAACAAAATCAAAACGAAAATTGCAAAGTCAAGGTGGCAGTTGTTTACGGCTAATGATTATGCTTAGCAATGCTTTTTGCAAACCAAACAAAGAAATTCGTGTTTGTGCCATGATGTCGTGTTTATTGTTGTTTATTGAAATGTCTAATGTCTGCACAGCAAATTGCCACTCGTACCTTAGACTTCCTAAGTGAAGCAAATTACTCAGTAAATGTGGAGAGTTGCGGGCGATGTTGTCGCACATGCGGCTATTGCATTACAGGTGCATTTTAACTGAAACGTATTTGCAGAACCAGGGGATGCGTTAGTTTCCATCGTTAAGTGTAGGCGGTGATGTTGGATTTAGCGGTGAGGTTTTGTTGCAAAATCAAGGTCTTAAGCTCGTATTTAATACCAGGTTATAATTGCATTATAAAACTTCAGAGGATTGATATGAAGGAGGAATTTTGCAGTTTCTGTTTATCTTTAGCTGATATTCATTAGAAATCCATATGGAGGCGCGGTGGCCTCATGGTTAGTGCGCTCGACTCCGGATCGAGTGGTCCGGGTTCGAGCCCCGGCCGGGACATTGTGTAGCGTCCTCAGGCAAGACACTTTACTCTCACAGTGCCTCTCTTCACCCAGGTGTATAAATGGGTACCGGCAATTTATTGCTGGGGGTAACCCTGCGATGGACTGGGGGGGGGGGGGGGGTAGAGATTAGAGATACTCCTAGTCGCTTCATGCTACAGAAACCGGAATTAAGCATCGGCCTAATGGGCCACTAGGCTCGTAAACAGACTTTACCTTACCATTAGAGATCCATGCCATCTTGAACATCATATGAACGTAGCGACAATGGCGTAGGTATCTTGAAGTACCTTGGTGAGAGTGGTAACTGCGCTCTTAAAAAACCGGCGTGCCTCGTACTCTAAGCCATTTATACACTATGCACTGACTGTTAACTATCAAATTTCTTTTACTGCTCTGTGTGATTCTGTAGTTAACCGATTTTCGGTTTCCAGGAGCTATGCTTTCGCAACAAGTCGTAGTCTCAAGTTAAATTAACTGCTAACCGGCTTTCTGCGAGACAGACAGACAGATGATTAGGCAAGATTGCGTGACGTTAAGAAATTTCTTGCGTGACGATGGGCGAATTTTTTTTTTTTTTTTTTTTTTCCGCAGGCACGTCAGAAGATATTGACAGACAATTCGGGAACCGTAACCTTACAATCTATTTCAATCGAAATAATAAGATTTTGTGGAGGTGTTGATTAATGTAATTAACTTCATGAATTGAACTTTTCCAAGCCTATGAAAATTTGTCAACTTTATGTCGTCTTATCGAGTTTTCTCGTTATTAAAATATTTCAAAAACCGCAGATCTTCATTAACATCAGTTTTAAATTTGCCGCAAATCCACAGAGCCTTTATTCTGACAACTGTGGGAAACGATATAGCTAAAAATTAGTTTGTAAATTTTACCATTGAACAGTGTTTAGGCCAGTCGTGGGCGGTAATAAATCTGTTATGTAACCTACTAAGGCAGTTTCAACGCTGACTTATTCAGTGCTTATTAAACGCCGATTCTTTGCGAAGGAAAGGGCGAATAGAACGGACAATTCTTTCGCAAACTGGGAATAAAATACCCAGCTACCTAAGTATTCACTTTATGACCTAATCAGTAACATTAAGATCACAAGAAGTGCTTTTCATGTGTTATGTTTGACCCTCGGTCAAGACACGCCACTCTCAGAGACACAAATCTGAGTAAAACTTGCTTTTACAGTCATTATTTATGTTAATGTTGTCCTCTCACTGCGTGTTTACGGAAATTGCGGCAAATATGCGATTTACACTCATTACTTTCTCATGAATTTCAATCAGCAATGCGTTTTGATTTATGATTTACCATATTATCATCATTAATGTTGTTTTAGTGCATTCAGTGCTTGTTTGGAATTGCAGCGAATATGTCATAGCGTAATCTCTCCCTGACGTTTAACCGACCTGTATCAATAAGTTGTGGTGTATGTTTTTCCTTGGGGGATTTAAGCTTAGGATGAATAACTAGTTGGTGATATTTTCAGTCCGACTACTTGACGCTCAATTGTTATATTAGGCCCGCGGGTCTTTCACCGCAATATTTCAAGTCTTTCCGCCTGTCCGCCTTTCCGCTTCTCTAAGATGTATAACGCTTTGCTGTATTTTACGAAATGAAATCTTAGCTCAATTGATGTGTTCTAAATCAGCTAATCGTTATCATGAACTTATTATCACACTTGAAAAACGCCATTTGATGTTATTTCGCTTGCGATGAATAGAGATCGTGTTTAAAATTTTTTTTAGATATTGTGATTTCGGCACACATCTCTTTTATTATTAGTATTCATTCGCTTAGCTAATTATTTTTCACTGCAATATAGCGGTTGTATTTACCTTATGCAAAGACGTTTTTCCGTTTAGCCGCTATCCGGGGGAACACTGACAAATTTATGCCGCTTCGAGCGGGTGGTCTCAAACACATAGCGGAAGGATAGGGATAAAAATTACAGACTTTTGATCTTCATTTGGAATCATAATCATGAAACCGATCAATTGTGAGACAATTTACCGCAAACTAGTAATTTTAGTATTCATGGCTTTGATTTCCTTGCGAAATGGAGCCCTTTCTGGCCTGAGTAAAACTAGGACCTTGTCGCTGTTGACTATGATGTACGTAATGTGGTATAATGTAAGAGTTAAGTTTCTTAACATCTCATATCCACCCAGAAGTTTCTAGAGTACACCCCCCTGAAACTGACATTGAAAGCTCTTTCAGTGGAATGCAGTATGCGGTAGTGGTCAAATAGAGCACTGTCATTTTTTGTTAATTCACGGATTTCAATAGGTGATGAAACAGCTTACTGACTTCTATATCTCTCTGATGTTTTGTAAAGTTATGCCTATTATTTTTTTTTGCGTGATACATATGAGCGCTACTTTAGTCCTTTGACCTTTCGAAGTCAGGTTCAAATTGTTTTTTGAGATACCCATGGTCGATCAAACACTCTAAATCCTCAAGTATGTATAACCCAGGATATTATTTATGTGTTTATTTGAGCTTGTGACAAGCGCATTTTTGAAATAGGTTAACATTATTTGTTTTTACCGAGGTCAGTTTGTTTCTAGTCGTATGTGAAAGCAATACAATCTAACAATTTGAGAAATGCAATCACTTTGTATCAGTTGCTTAGATAGTGATGAAACTTGACCTGTGTTTTCTGTGTTCGCTATAAAGTTGGGCGTCTGGCTTGAATGAAATAGTATTGCTGGGATTAACGGGATTTTAACGCGATTATCAACCGGTAATAGTCTGGCTTCATTCCTTTTGGAGAGTGGAGCAACGCTGTGACACTACTCACACCAGTCACGATCTTGTGGTCTGAATCTAATTCGTCAAAGGTCGGTCATCGGTTTGCGAGCCAAGACGAAACTGCGTCGGTGTTGAGCTGAAAAGTGCTAAATTATGTTCTCTACTTGCCGTGTGATCTGTGGCCTTTGAATTAGCGGGCGACTTAATTGGCGCCGTCAGAACTTCTGCAAACACAATGTTAGTTTGCTGTTGACTGCTGTGGAACTAAAGATCGCTATTCATGGTTTTACATCCGTCAAGTGAAGTTTGTGCTATGGCGACCAAAACTCCGGTTCGTACAGCACAGCCGCCAAGTTACGCCTTGTCTATGCGAATCGTATCATCTCAGAGCCCTGTGGTGGTTCGCCGAGCTCTCAAAACGCGAACAGACGAAGCTCAGGTAATATTCCTAAAAGTGAAAAAAATTTTAACATTTTTATCGTGTTTTCTGCCGAAGTGGCTCGCAGTTGTTGAAATGTTGTGTTACGAACATCCGCTAGCAATCTGTTTTGTTTCTACTTTCGATTGACGTGACGACTGCTGAAATGGAAAAACACGAAAAAACAGTGATCCTTCGGATTTTAATCATTAAATGTTCGTGGTTTTTTGTTGCTAGCTTTAAGGGTTTGATTATCTATACTCTGATGAAAGAAACATTCTAGTTTTTTGTTGGTGAGTGGAAGGTCAGTATCACTTTCAAGAACAGCTATTGTGTTCAGCATTCCAGTAGAAGAATGACAACTTACTTTGACAACTTCTGCCCAGATGATCAACTACAGAAGTTCAAGGGTTTCTTTGCCTGGGGCACTGTTTTTGTGAATCTTTCATGCCCTTTACACAACAATTTGTTTTTTTTTTCATCGAGAAATTTGTCGCAACATTATTTCATTTCCTGTGTTTTAAAAATAATTTTATTTGTCAGAGCATGCGGGATCATATTGCCTTAGTGGAATTTGGAAACCTTTCATTTCCTTGATTTGGCCATTGTCTGATCATTTCTGCCTTAAAATGACTTATTTTTGATCGATTTGTCCCATATGCTGAAAGCAGTGTTAATGCCGTGACATATCTACCTTAAATATTTCACGAGTTGTTCATTACATCGTTATCAATTGGTTATCTTTTAAATTCGTTTGTGTGATCTTTTCACGATATCAGTTTTACAGGAAATAAGCTCAATTCTAAGCCTTAACTTGCATCAACTGTGAACCTGGAAGACAACAAGCCGATTACGACGATTTTTCGTGTTTGTTCCCACTCAAAATAATTCATAGCGTGCATGTACCCTTCTTGTCTTGTTTTGCTCAGAATAGTCACGTTGGAGCTAGACTAGGTTTATTCCGTCCAAACAAAGCTTGATAATGCAAGTTTTGTTCTCTCATTAAGTATTCATTCAATGGTTCGTTTTTCAGCTTAGTCAGCCTACATATTTCCTTCTTGCAGTTGTTTTTTTTTTTTTTTTCCAGTTTTCATTTTTACTTAATAATCCTAAGCCGAATCAGAATTCAAGTTTTCCTTATCCTGTATGAAAATTATCATCATTTTGCTTTCGCTATATTTTTACGTATGGTGCATTTGTTTGTTGCGCATACCTTTTCTCTTCTTTGTATTATATGGCTGACAATGATCGAGTTGAGGCCGAATTGAGGTCACGCTTAATGATGTTATTTTTGTCTTCACGATTGGTGAAATATGTTATGTGTTTTCAGTCATGCAAACTTACATATTTCTTTTTCCCTTTTTTTATTCTTATGGTCTTAAGCCGGATTAGAGTTCAAGTTGTTCTAAGTGTCCTTGGTAATGCTATTTTTAATCACGTTGTATACGCTTTTCCGCCGTTTGACGTCCGACTTTATTACTGCTCTTGTTTCGTCACTTAAGAGCAGTCAGAAAAAATTTGTTGAATTATAGCGACATTTGATAAGTAACATTATTTAGTCTGCCACTATAACTGTCCTAAAATTAATCCCATCGTTTTCTAGTTGTTTGGAACTGAATGTTTCGGCTAGTTGTGGGTACGGAAATAGTTTTATGGGTTAGGGCTTCGGGCCAAAACCTAGAAGACGGAAAGATTTCAGTTTAATTTTTTAATTCCGCACGAAATCCTTCGCTTTTAAATAAAAAAGAATGGAGTCAGTAACCTTCGTGATGGCTTTTTTGGAACAGAAAGTGTCACACATTCTAGCAATTCCAAA